AAAAGGAAAACATTTGTAAGAGTTAAAACTTCAATTCACAACGTTCACAAACTTAAAACAGGTTAAATCTTGCTTACTGGATCCAGGTTTTTCAACCTCTCTGACAATGTGCGTCATGCCAGCCTTGTAACCCAAAAAGGCAGTAAGCTTGCAAGGCTTAGTAGGGTCATCCTTGGGGAAAGACTTCACTGAGCAGAATCAAAACAAGAATCAAAAGTTCAATTGTCAGAACACAATGAGTGCGCAATGATATTAAAACCCAACACATCGCTTAAGGATAAAGATACTACTAATAACCTTTTCCTCTGTGTCGGGCAGCTCTCTTCCTCGGAAGAAATCCAAGGGAGCCATGTCTTGGGTGCTCGAACTTCCTGTGAGACATCGTTCTTATTCTTCACCACAAAATCAAACATGTTGATTAACAAACTAGAAATCTAATTAAAAACATATATATAGATATAAATAATTAAAATTGACCCTTCAATATTAGTGCGTAGAATAACAATTTCTTTTCTTTTCTCTGTATTTTATTTTATTTTTTTATTTAGTTGTAACCAAACTTCAATAAGAATGACAGCAAACTACATATAAATACTGGATCTTTCAACCGAAGAAATATACCTAAGAAATTCTTCTAACTCTAAATAGTATTCAAGCAACAGAAAACGTAACAAGTGTTGCAGAATAGAAGGCAGGAAACTCCATGTCGAAAAACAATAAAACAGATCCATGATACAAGAAGCGAAACGATTTTCATGCTCTTACATTATGATCTGCTGATTACTAGAAAAACAAAACAAAACAAACAATGAATCATAGATTGAAATAAGAAAGAAAAGAAAACAGAGCAATACAACTCTTGGTTTCAATCATTTCCACAGAGGCAAAGATAGCTGAAAGTTGTAACTACATAACAATGAGATTGGAAAACCTGTTTTATTGTGTTTTTCAAGACAGTCGAAAAGTTTTGCAAGATTTTCTCGGAAACCAAACAGGAAAAGAGAGGAGAAATCTGAGAGACAGAGAGATGAGATACAAACCTCCTGCTGCGGCGACACACACAATAGCTAGCTCTAGAGCTGACAGAGGGCGTCAATAAACCCTAGTTGGTCTTTATATAGTACTTCTTCTCGCATAAAACCCACCTCATGTTTTCGGTTTTTTATGTCATTGAAATAATAAATTCGATATAATATCTAATTATCATTTATAAATTAAACTTATTGTGATGGTTTAAAGTTACTGATTTAAAACATGTTTAAAAATAATTGAAAAGTTTATATAATCGGTTTAACAATTTGCTAATAATTGAATAATTTTTAATTTAAAGGTGAATAATTTAAATATTTTAATTTTAAAATTTTATAGCTTTTGAAAATAAATTTTAAAATTTTTATATGAATATTAAATACTCGTGTCTTCAATTTAAATTAATATTATTTAAGTATTTTTTTTTAAAATAAAACATAATTTTAGTTAAATTAAAAAATACTCAAACGATACCTTTTTTAATAAATATTTTTTAAAACACTTACTTGGAATTAACTGGATAATATTTTATTTAAGTAACTCAATTTAATTTGATTAATTTAAATTTTAAATTAATTTAAAATAAAACTCAATTAAACTTTGAATTAGTAATTTATTGAATCAATTTGTTAAACTGAGTCATGTTCAATAACAACATAGAACAACCCTATTTTTTAAAAAACGTCCTATAAATTGAATGAAAAGCATACCTAAATTTTTATGCGGCCGTCGTGGCCCAAATACCAATATGAGAGCGTGCTCTTCAGTTTGGCCCATAAAAAGGTCATTCTTATCCTTGCTTGCAGGCCCAATAGTAATTACAGCTTGGAAAGAAACGACGTGTAGTTTAGACATTCCCGTTCCATTTGTAATTAGGGCAACCATCGCTACCACTATAAATAAATCTCCAGTCATGGCTTTCTTCGAATGGTCGCCAGGCGTAGGGATAAAGGAAGCTGTATTTCAAAGCGGGTTTTTGCTTTTGTAGATTCTAGGTTTTGTTATTGTTGAAGAAAGAGAGTGATGAAATTATCTGTGCAAACGCAGCACCAGTCTGTTTTATCTGATTGGTTGCCATGAGCGGCACTTTCCACACGAGATTTCTGACTCTTCCTTCCGTTTCTTTTTCCTTTTTGTTAGCTCTGAAAGTGTCCAGAACTGAATTGAAGAAAATCCTTTACTTTTTTTGCCACCACTCAAATTCAAGTTCTCTCCCTGGTTTAATTTAGTTGCTGCTGTAGCCTCTTTTTTTTGTTATCTGTTAATGTGTAACTAGTATTCTTTACCTCTAATCTTGTGCTCCGTTGCCCAGAGAATTAGAGGGGAAGAAAATCTTCTGTCATTTTTTATTCAACGCTCGAAAGTCAGGCTCGTGAAGTTGCTGGTAGGAGGATCTCTTTTGGATCTTAAAAACATTTCTTTCAAAGCAAACTGAACCAGAGACCACACCCTCAAGCAGCTCAGACTTGTGCTGTCCGCAACGAATCATATGTAGAACTTGTCTTGCCTTGCTTCCAAATACCAAAGATGGTGGTGTTCCATCCCACTTTCCCTATGATAGCTTGAAAAGTCCCTTTATCCAATTTTGCCAAAGCCCACTGCAAAATTTTAAAGACTAGCTTCCAGGACTTTCGTATATCCAGATTTCAGCACAAGTGGACTCTAAAGAATCTTTAATTAAAGTTATCTCGAAGAAAAGATGGTCACGGTCCTTGTCTGTATTTCCACACGTCGCCCAAATATCATCAACCTGCCTTCCCAAAGCAATTTGCCTTGTTTTGGTGTTCAGCCTGTTATGAACAGTCAACTAAGCAACAAAACCGTCTAGGAAAGTTGAAAGAACCCCAGATTGATTTATGCCAACTAGCTATAGGATTCATGCATCTATGTATTTCTTGACCACTCGTAACTTGAAATTCACCATTAGCATTAGCTTTCCAATTCAACTTGTCCTCTCTAGCAGGATCAGGAAATAAAACACCACACAGCCATTTGCACCTCAGCCATAGCATCAGATGGAGCACTAGTCAACCCCAGTTCCCATCATCAATTTCTTCCTTTAACCTGGCATCAGATGATCTCCAAGATTCCTGCACAAGACTCTGTCCATAAACTTAAACAAGAACACTGTCTTGATGCTGATTGTCCCACCATAATAAACTGATTTGTTTGTTTGCCATTGCCCGAGATATAACAGGATTGATCCCAAACCAGCTCTCTGAGTTTAAGAAGCTTCCTCCAGTACCATGTGCAACTTCCCTTTTTTCTTCACATTCCAAAAGTTTGTACCCTTGAGCTCGCAAGTGTTTGCCCAAGCTACCCCTAATGAACCAGCGATGATGAGCTGTCGGAAGTCTCAATTAACAGAAGTGCTTATGTAACGGGTAGATACATCAAGCGTTCTAACTCAATTGCGTCATGGTTGCATGCCTTTGAATGATTTTTAAAATACCATTAGAAAAAAATTGATGAACAATGCCTATAATAATATCTTAAAAAATCCAAATAATTGGTTAAAAATTTAAGAAATTTGAAGGCAAAACTTATATTTGGTTAATATTTTGGTTCTAACAATCTAATTTTTTTAGTTAATGCAGTGGTATGTGATATTTGCAAAATATTTTTTTATTAATTTATAGATTATTTGTATGTGATACTTGCAAAAAGTTTTTTTTAATTAATTTAGAGATTATTTGATAATTTAATCAATAACTTTTTTGAGAAAAATATAATAAGATTATAGAGAGATACATTGTAAAATAAATATACAATAAAAAATAAAGATTTCAAACCTTTTATTTAAGGGATTTATAACTTATTTATAGCCTATAAGTCTTTTTATAAAGATGAAAAGTTAAAATGCCTTTAATTATATTAAAAAGAATATATATATATATTAATTTTAATAAGAAATATCTCTAATACATGTATGACATATGTGTTAATATAAATAGAAATATGGTGGATTTTTAAAAGATTTTTATTTATTATTTTTTATATAATATGAATATTAATAGAAATATGATTGGTTATTGGATATAAAATGAGTGTAGTAAAGGAGGATATAAAACGTAGTTATGGCAATGAAAATGAGTTATTTTCTTATCTAAGCCCAAATGAAGTGGGTTTTTTCCTCACATGAACTGGGTTTTATGAGTTTTTTGGTGCATCCTTAAATGCGAGTTTATCTTTGATATTTCTGGCTTCTCGCTGAGCATGAACAATGGTTTTTTCTACTCCCGTAACGTTTAGAATTTCTTATAATAATATTTGAATGGTTTTGGTCCATAAAAAGAAGGAACAGGTTTTGACCAAAATTCGACGTTGTCTTCTTAAAATTAGGAGTCGGAGAAAATGATATCAGATGCTATTTCGACATTTTCCTCTTGTTTTTCTGGTTCTCACTGTACGTTCTTAAACATGACGAGAAAAAAAGCTTGTGGGTAAAAAATATCATAGCCTAAAGTAAATCGGTATTCTGTGCTAGCTTTGAGGCCATTGGGTAAGCGATATGTTCTGCGAAGAACTGGCGATTATGAAACAAGCTAATGATTGATTGTTTCTTCTGAAGCCTGTAAGTACTATGGTTAGAACAAGGACCTAAAAAGCTAAGCTGGCAGGTCAAATGATACAAAGGCTTTGCCGTGGGAAAATATAAGAAGGCGTAACTTCAGCCCTTTTTTTGGGTTCTGCAGATTAAGGAAGCGTATAGCCCAATTTTAGGTAAATAGAAACAGCTGAACTGATGTGGTTGCGTTTTTGTCCAGCGAGGATTTACCAATCTTGTCAACTTCTTTCTGGCCGTATGAGATTTGTTGTGGCTATAAATTACACCAACTCGTGGGGCAATTAGTCTTCACAATTTCCAATCATATTAGGCCTAGTTACCTCCACCAACAAAGTAAGCAATGGATTCCTCGAGTCACGTCTGCATATTATCAACCATTTTGATGCTCCTTGTTTACCAGTCAATGGCAACAGTTGCCCCATCCGAGCTAGTAGAAGATGTCTGCACTGAGACTGAGAAATTGATGATGGCTTACGGTGAAAGATCAGGGTATGTCGCAAAATATGATGAATGCGTCAATGCTCTTCAAATGGATCCTAGAACTGCCACAGCAAACATCACCACTCTTGCCGAAATTAGTGTCCAGCTGGCGATTTCCTGTGCGAAAAATGCCAAGGCTTTGATAGAAAACCTTCTCGGGAATACAACACCTGCTTCAAGAGAGCCCCTTCAGAATTGTCTGTCCTCGTACGTGAATATCACTGGCCATTTCGAAAATGCACTCTCGGGGCTAAGTGCAGGTCTGCAATCTTCCAACTTCGACATCGCGGAGGTTTTGGACCTTGTCAAGATATGTGAACTTGAATTGACAAGGAACCAGACTCATATTCTGCAGCTTACGAACAGAAACCACTACACCCGCATGTTTGTTGAAATCTCAGAATTTCTCATAACCCGGCTTGAATTATATCACATAGGCAACGGCTTCACACAGACGAGGACTCATGGTTAATAATCAAGGATCGAAGAAAGTTTCCTCGACGCTTGCTGAAGCATAAGTGGGCTTTCTTGTAATCTCGTATATGAAGGCATGAGCATTTGCTATGTTTTTGTAATTTTTGAGTTTTTTTTAACCCATATTCCTTTAATATGTTTTTGTATTTTTGAGTTTTTTTTTCCTTTCTTTTTAATCTAAATTCCTTTGGAAGGAGACATGCGTGCGTCTCCTTCTAAACATTGAAAGAATTATAATTTTTTGTCTTTTATTTTTTTTATCTTAACTATAAACAGGGAATTGAAAATTAAAAAACGCATTCCAGTAACTTACTTTGCATAATGGTTTAGAAAAATATTTTTAGTTATAATTTAAAAAAATCAAACTTAAAAAAAAAATATTTAATTAAAGAATATCACCATAACAACACGACTCGAACTCGAAGTACAAAACAAGAGTGGTTGTATATGGTTGTATAGAAGTCAATTAAGTGAAAGAGATTGTTAAATTTAGGTCTCATGTTGAAAGACGTGAATACGAGCCTCCATTGTATAAAGGAAGGAAGAGGAGGAGCATGTTTAATTCTGGGAAAGTTAACGGTTCTGTGTATACAAAACTTGAATTAATTTAAAATTATTTATTTTATTTTTTTGCTGAAAAAAACGAAGTGCTTATTTGAATATTAAAACCGAGTAAAATCTGAGTAATTTGAAGATGAAATTATATATTAATTTTTTCCTTCGAATGAAATTTTAATTAAAACATGAGAGAAATGAAAAAAAAAATCATAATAGCATGAAAATTGGGTGTATTTGCGGATGTAGCACGTTCTCTACTTTGCGTTCGAGGTCCAGAATCAATTGCCCAGTGAGTTGAGATGGAAATACATCAATGGTGGTTTCCAACTCAGTCTTTCCTTCTTCATGATTGTGCATCGATTCTTATTCAATTCTCTCATCCATCTCGCATATATATAATCGATTAACTATTTCTACATAGACAATTGACAATTATAAGTTTCAAAGTTAAGAATCATGGGCATAAAAGATTAATATAGCCTTTTTATGCTGGATAAAAATAAGAATGAATATGATTTATATTTTTTTTTGTGAAATTGTTTGGTGTATTTTTAGATAATATAAAACGTATTTTTTGTCATGTCCAATGTTGTTACCATAAGGATTTTTTTGTTTCGTCAAAAGAGATAAGGCAATCTTGTCTCAATATTTGCATAGGGTTAATCTGTGTTGATCATGTCAATTTAAAAATAAAAATTATTATTATTATATTTTTAAAATTCAATTAAAGAATCGGCCGAGATAAAATTTAAGTCACGGATCGAGTTGATCATTAATTCAGGTTAATATGAGAATAAAAATAATTTTAATCGTAATTTAAGAACTTGACTCAAGGCAAAACCTGAGTCACTGGTCAAGTTGATCATTGACATATATTAATATATATAAAGATAAAAATAGTTATTGTCATATATTTAAAATATGACTAGGAATTGGCCTACGATAGAGTTCGGGTCATGGGTTGGGATGATCGTTGACTTGGGTCAATATAATGATAAAAATATTTATTATCATAGTTTTAAAACTTGACTCAAGGGTTAACTCGGGGTAAGGCTTTAGTGACAAGCCAAGTTGACCATTGACCTGATCACTATAAAGATAAAAATAATAACTATTATTGTTTTAAAACATAACTAGGAGGTTGATCCAGTGTCAAGCCTAGGTCACATGACAGGTTGATAATTGATTTAAGTTAATATAATGATAAAAAAGTTATTATTATAGTTTTAAAACTTAATTTAGAGATCAATCCAGAACAAGGTCTAAGTTACAGGTCAGGTTGATCATTAACCTGTGTCAAGATAAGGATACAAGTGATTATTATCGTAGTTTTAAAACTAATCAAGCGTTGACTCAAGTCCAAGCTTGGGTTACAAGCCGGGTTGGCTATTGACATGGATCAACATAAGAATAAAAATAGTTATTATCATAGTTTAAAAACATGAATTGAGGATTGACTTGGGGCCAAACCTGAGTTAGGTTAACTATTAATCCAAGTTCATTAAATATAAAAATAATTATTGTCACAGCTTTAAAACTTAACTAGAAGGTTGACCTAGGGGCAAGGACTATATCAAAAGTCAAGAGGGTCAACATGGGTTGACTCAAGGTAATATCAGAAAGAATAATTATTATAATGGTTTTAAAACTCAACTCTTAGGTTGACTCGAGGCAAGATTTGGATCATGGATTGGGAAGGTCAACTTAGATTGATCTAAATCAACATAATAATAAAATAATTATTATCGTAATTTTAAAATTTAATTTAAGGATTGACTCAAAAAATGCTTAAGTTATAGATGAAAAGGGGTTGTAAAACTTGCAATAATAATGATGAATATTACACAAGAGAGAAAAGAAGAAAAATACATAAATTTAGCGTGGTTTGACAATGCATCTACATTCACAAGAACAACGAGTTTTTATTTCATTATTTTTCAAAATTAGAGTTATATAGTATGTATTTATAATAAATCCTAACCATACAAGAGATGTTAATAATTTCTAATCGATATATTTTGCTCCCCTCACTCGGCTAGCTTCATCTAGCTTCTGCTCATAAGCCACTTACTTTAAGAAAAGGGTTAATTTGAATTAATTAAAATCAATGTACGGATAAAAATAATTATTATTATATTTTTAAAACTCAACTCGGTGTGATTCAAGATAAGGCTCAGGTCATAGGTTGTGAGAATTAACCCAATTTGACCTAATTTACCCCTGTATAATATCATATCTTATATCATATTAATTTTAATATTCATAGTTTATAATTTTTATAAAAATTTGGCAGGAACAAAAATATTGGTTGTATAAATTTAAATCAACACCTTCGATTTCATAACATAATCAATCAAACATGGATGGGCCAGAGCCCAAATCACAAGGAAGGGGAAGCTGACTGCTGAGGGCTGAGGTCCATATTAGACAAGACCAGATCCCCGGAAGGGCCAGAACGATGTTTATCCATTTTGAATATGTCCTCGGCATGAACGCGAGAGCCGTTCGATTGTGGCCTCAAATAATCCGACGATCGTCAAATACAATTCCCAAGAATTTGACCTGGAATAAAGAGACTCCTGCACGTGGCAGTAGCGAAAGCCTCTTATCCACTCTATAGATATCCGTACCAGAGGCGTTAATTTAATATCAGAAAAAACAAATCATACTCGCTATGCCTGCCCTTTCAATCTAACCTCAATTACTATTTCGCCCTTATCACTTGTCAAATGGAGGCGAGTTTTGATCATCGATCAGAGTCGCGAGTGGGGTGATGATAGAAAAATAAAGCCGTTCAAAGAGCGGGAGAAATGAAAAACCAGCCGTTTTGAATTTAAACTGCCTCGCACAAAAACTTACAATCGAAGCCTTCTTGTTTCCCATCTCTGATAAAAAAGGAAAAGGAAAGGAAAGTTGGCAAATAGAGAGTATTTGATGAGTGGTTTCTGAAGGAAGAAAAATGGAAGAATTAGAAAGGAATTTTCATGGCATGAAGAGGAAACAACTGCAAGCGCTTTGTAAAAAGCATGGAATTCTTGCCAATAAATCCAATGCCGAAATGGCTCATTTGTTGACTTTGACTCTCAAGGTGTGTTTTCTGTTAGATACGGATAATTTATCTTTGTCTAATTTCGGGCTTGAAGGGTTTCTGGTAGCTTCTTTTTTTTGTTTGAAATTGGAATCTTCAATCGTTCTGAAGAATTTGTTAATTATTTTATAAATTTAATAAGAATTTGATTTAAATACGGAAAAAAATTGATTAGGCTTAATTTATTGTGTTTTTTTTTTTTATCATTATGCTTTAAACATTGAAAGAATTATAATTTTATTTTTATTTTTGTGAACTATAAACAGGGAATTGAAAATCCAAAAGAGCAAGGTCAAGGAGAAGTACAAAACGAGAGTGATTCTATGAAAGTGACTAAAATATTGAAGAATGTTAAATTCAAGCCTGCTGTTGAAATACGTGAATACGAGCCTTCGGTGTATAAAGGAAGGAAGAGGAGGAGGAGCATGGTTCATTATGGGAAAGTTAGTAGTTCTCCGCCTGGAATCAGGAATACAGAGCAGAGAACAGTTGAAAGAAATGTAGATGAGGTTGTTGGGAAGAAGAGAGGGAGGGGACGAGAGAAGAAAGGGAGCGTTGGGGTGGAAAATGTTGATGTTAGTGATAACTCACGACCACCTGTAATCACTAAAGAGGGAGGTGTTCAACTTGTGAAGGGTGGAGACAAATCGGGTAGGAGGCGACTGAGAAGTAGAGAGGTGGTGATCGAGGAGAACGTTGAAGGGGGTGAAGGGGATTTGGTTGTTTCTAGGAAGAATTCAAAACGGGAAGAGTCTAGAAAGAGGGGGAACCGTGATGGGATTCGTTTGTCTGATGAAGTTTCTGAAGTGAATGTAAGTGCAAAAGACGATGCTAAACCTGCAAATGCGCCATCTGGATCAAGAAGAAATGCTAGAAAGAATGAAAGCACTTCATTATTGAGTGTGGATTTCAGAAAAACTGAAAGTTTTGGAAGGACTACTCGGTCACGGGCTAAGTTAAGGGAGAATACTTCTATAACTGCAGATAAAGCTGAAACCGTCGAGGTTCAGGATGAATATGAAAAGGTTCTCCAGACTGAAGAAATTTTGGAGGGTGCAGGTAGATATGCTTTGGGAAGAAAGTCTTTTGTGCCTCGAAAGGGGTTGGTGGTAGAAATCCTATCTGAAGAAGGTGTTGAGTCAGTGAAGGGCGGTAGGCGATCAAGAAGAAATACTAGCAAGAAGGAAGGTACTTCATTATCGAGTGGGTGTTTTTGTAAAACTGAAATTCTTGGCAGGACTACTCGGTCACGCTCTAAGTTGGAGGAGAATACATCATCTGTGACTGCAAACAAAGCTGAAACCATCGAGATTCAGGGTGAAAATCAAAAGCTTCTTCATCTTGAAGAACCG